TTATACACAGGAAGCAGAGCACATCCCAAAGGCAGCTACTCAGCTGCTTGTGGTAGATCCCACCATGGCGTTGATTTCAGTCTCATCATGGGGAATAACTATCACCAGCTTCCCACCCACTCCACCAGGCCCAGCCAAGTTGACACACAAGTATAAGTACAACATAAGATAAAAGGTGATGCAGGCCACACCCCAGGTAAACACCCATTACATCAGATCAGGGCTGTGACCTGAGTAAGGGTGTTGCATCCCACCCTAATCCCCTTATAACTGCGTGGCTGATCACATCAGATCACATCATGGGGGAAGATTACATCATTATATAACTGCCAAACCACTGAGAATCACAGCCCAGCCAGGATGACACATACATTTCAGGGGACAAAATTCAACCCATGTGAAGTATCTGTGATAACATCAGGCCCCCTCAAATAATCCAGGATAAACTCTCCATCTCAAAATTCTTAATTTAATCACATTTGCAAAGTCTCTTTTGCCATATAAAGTAACATATTCACAGGTTCCAGGTATTAGGACTTGGAGATCCTTGGGGGTGGGAAGGGCTGTTGTTCTGCCTACCAAACCCTGCCTTTGTTTCCCTTAATTCAGCAGTTTAGGGAGCTCTGGTGGCATAGTGCTTAAGGCAATTGACTGCTAACCAGAAGGCTGGCAGTTCAAACCCACCAGCCACTCCCTGGAAGGAAGGTTGGGCAATCTACTTCTGTAGTGATATCGCCTCGGAAACCCAAGGAGGGGGTGCTATGAGTCAGATCTGACTCGATGGCAGTGGGATTGGGTCTTTCTCCTTCCTTCCTTCTCTCTTTCTCCCCTTATGTCCTAGGGACTATAGATGGCCAGCATACTACTACTTTTGTTGTCAAAACCACACCTGTGACTATTGTTGTTTCATATAAGTTATTCTCTTGACTTGCCGTCTGAGATTACTGGAATCAAGAAAGACCATTCAGTTTCCTTTTCTGTTGTTTCTTGTTGCTGTTTCTACTAAATTTTATCAGTAGAAGTGGACACTGTGGGAAAGTAAAATTCCCTTGCCTTCACTGGATGACAGACATACAAACTTACAGTCTCATAAGGCAGGAAATGATAGTTTATTCACCCTCCCCAAATGAAAATAGTTGCAGAAAATCAGCATTCTGCATTTTGAAATCTTCATGAATGAAATCCTACAACTTCCCTAGTCATCTAGTCCCATATTTTACAGCCCTCCCATTTAGGATAATTCAACTCTTTGTCTATGGACAATTTGGAATTTCTTACCTTCCTTGGGTTTGCCAAGGCCTGTCAAAATGCACACATGCATTTCTCACATCCTTTTCTTTAATCTTGTTTCTTGACCCATGGTCTTAGGGGGTTCCTTAGCTGTGAAGAGAGTTATTTCTTCAAGATGTCAAGGTGAGAAGGGGGTGGAAGGAATGCTTGGCCAACTGTGCTACAGTTAGTATGTTGTAGCCTGGTAATGGTCTGTGCTGGAGAATGGTCTTCTGTATTCCCTCTTGCTTTGACAACCCTGTGTCTGAGGAGGAATGTGGGGGCACAGCACGCCTACCATGCAATTCCACCCTATAGTCAGGGAATGCTGTTCCCATACAGGTGTCACAGGACTTCCACACTGTTTTGGCTTTGCTCCTAATTTTTCTTGATTGGGTTGTCCAAGGAGGGAAAAGAAAGGGGGTTACAGAACACAGATAAACCCCACCAAACACAAACACATCCACATCATTCATTGCATTGCAGAGATTTCCATCCAGTGGCAGGTGCTTCCCAGCCCATTTCAGATTCTCCAGGAGAGTGCATACTACTTCTCAACAAGTTATTTTCAAAACATCACCCTCATGCTCAAAGACCTATAAAGCTGCCTAATCATCCTAAAGCCATCATCCTTGAGTTTGAGGGCATTTAATCAACTTCGGCTGCCCTCACTTTTACAAGTGGAGGTCTCATTCCCCAGTGAGGAACCTCTCCATTGGCAAAGCTAATCTGCTTCCCATCCCAGAACATGGTTCAGATCCATGTCCTTGCTCATGCCATGGTCCACTCACATAAATTACCTGAATTTCTCTCTCAATCAATGCTTTCAGCTCTTTTGAAACAAAATTGAAACAGACCTGTTTCAGGAACCTTGTCCTGACCCCACCAGACTGACGATTCCTCTGCTGTGCCGTGGCTCAGCGTTTGTGGATTCACATGCTTTTCCGCTGTATCTGGTGGCATAGTGTCTGAGGCATTTGACTGCTAACCAGAAGGCTGGCGGTTCAAACCTACCAGCCACTCCTTGGAAGGAAGACTGGGCAATCTATTTCCGTAGAGATACCGCCTTGGAAACCCAGGGAGGTCATTGTGAGTCAGAAACAGCTTGACGGCAGTGAGTCTGGTTTGGTTTGGTTTTGCTGTGGTAGTCAGAATTTTAAGATGCCCTGCCACAAGATGGATAGATACCCCAGCCCAGCCCTTGGTACAGGCACACCTTCTCCCAGTTCTTTAATCAAACGCTAATCGAGGTGCAACTGTGAAGGAATTTTGCGGTGTAATTAAGGTCCCAGGTCAGACAATTTTAAGATAGGAAGATTATCAAGAGTGGGCCTGACCTAATCAGATAAGCCTTTAAAAGGGACTGGACTCTTTTTGAAGAAAGATTAAAGGTATGAGAGGGATTCAATAAGAGATAAATTCTCTGTTGTTGAGTTTGAAGATGAAGGAGGACACATGATGAGTGGGCTCTAGGAGTTGCGAGTAGCTCTCGTTTGACAGCCAGCAAGGAAATGGGGATCTCAGACCTATAACTGTAAGACACTGAATTTGACCAACAGTTGATGGTAATTTGTAATACAGCAAGGGAAAAGTAATGAGCTTGCTTTGGTATATCTTGCTTTAGTTGATTTCATTCCTAGATAAGAGGAAACGGTTTTTTAAAATTTATTTTTGTATCTCCTTCCCACTGCAGCCATAATATGATGCTATCAGGGTTGTTATGTATCGTCAAGTCGAACCCGACTCATAGCGACCCCTCCTTGGGTTTCCGAGGCAGTATCACTACGGAAGTAGATTGCCCCATCTTCCTTCTGAGGAGTGGCTGGTGGGTTT